CTGATAGCACTGTGTTGATTTTTCACAAATGAGGGAATGGTAATCAAAATAATGTATGGCTGTGGACTCCTGATCTGCAGGAGCACCTGAAGGTTATTCCTCTTTGGCCTTGTTCTTGTTATGAAGGTGGAGTGTGCTCTAAAAGGGAGACATTGAATCAAAGCTCACTGTGTTCTGGAGCCCTCATAGCACTAATAGCTATTGACACTACAAATTATGTTGTCTTCATTAGGATTTTTGCCTTTAAGTGACTCATTGAAGTTAAAAGGCTTCTGTATACCTGCTCATTAGAAGGTGCTGCTCCAGTACTTAGGATTAAATTGAACCCTTTGTAGCCTGCTTGTGTAGGTCACACAGGTCCCTGAGGGAAGAGGGAGATAATTCTGCAGCACATTAATATGTAAATACAAATGCTGATTTGTTTCTGTTTTGGCCAAGGTGTGAGCAGGTGTTTGAAGTTGTGCTGTTTGTGCTCTCTCCAGAAAGCTCCACTTTGGAGCCCGTCCCTGCCCTGTGCAGTTCTGGGGGTGCATTTGCCAAGTGCCCACCTGCTCTGGAAGGTGAGAACTCCCAAGAGGAGCTGTTTGTGCTGTGACACTGGATTATTGGGTCAGGCGTGGAGCTCTGCACGCAGTCATTGGTGTTGCCTGCAGTGCTTTGCTGGGCAGTCACATTTGAAGCACGGTCAGTGCAGAGCTGCTCTGTGTGGTCACTGCAGGGACAGCAGCTGAGTGACAGGGACTTCGTAAGCACAGTCCTGTGCCCAAGGCTTACTAAATTAATGACAGCTAGGGGCAAGTTCAGTGGGTTTTGTCCATTGTTCTTTGGGTTGACCAGGCTCGTCTGCAGGGTCTGAAGCAGCATGGGAGTGGTAAAACGCCAGCTGCTTTGAAAGGGGTACATTTTGACTAAATTTGAGAATTATTTCAGGTGCACATGGAGGAGCTGAGTTTCACTTTCCTGAAAAAGCAAGGCAACACCTGGCTTGGCTCAGCAGGGAAGGTACAGCTCCTGTTCAGCTGGGTTTTCCTGAGCAGGTTGTCCCATATATCCTGTTGCTATGGGAAACCATAACTGTAGCTAATTCCTGGCATAGTGTAGCTGAAAGTCCAGAGTAATGTGTTACAAACAACACATCATCATCATATGGTCCTGTCACAGCTTCTCAATTAATTTATCTAGGTCTGCAGATGGCCCATGTCTTTGGTTGTGTATAAATCAGGCTTGAGGGGCATCCCTCTCTGTGTATATTTGTATTGCTTAGAGTCTATTCTAGGCCAGTGATCATACTTTGAATATCATACATTCTCTAGTTTAATCATTTTGATGCCATATTCATGGAATCATAGAATGGTTTGGGTTGGAAAGGACCTTTAAGATCATCCAGTTCCAACCTCCTGCCATGGGCAGGGATGCCTTCCACTAGAGCAGGATATTCCAACTTGGCCTTGAACACTTCCAGGGATGGAGAAGCTGCAGCCTCTCTATGCAGCAAATATTGTAGCTCTGTGATCTTCTGTAAACTGATAACGTGGCTGAAGAAAACACCAAAATGTTCTGTATTTGGTGGCTGTGCTTGCAAGTTGTAATGATTAAAGCATCACTGCTTATTTATGTCCTGAGCAGAGCCATAGCCAAGGCAAAGGAAAAACTAACTGTAATCCTTGGGGATTGTGAGCCAAGCCCTTGTTTTTGTCTCTTAGTCTGCAGGAGACAAAGTAGGTTTTTATGATTAGATCTGTATGGATAGTTCTTAAATCACCTTAAAAAAAAAAAAAAAAAAAGACAGGAGAGATGTAATTTGAAGAGTTCGTGCCTCACCACAGTGGGATAGAGCTCGTGCCAACTGAACTCCAAAAGGGAAAAAAAGGTTTTAATTTGGCTTTTCCTGCAAGATCTCTATAGCAAGAGATTCTGTTAACCTCACCTGCTCCTCTACAGGCTGTCAGCCACTGATGTGATTGAGAAAATTTTTATTATTAACTTCTTCATGACTTCTATTGCCACTGATGCCTTTAGTATCAAAGAAATATGAAGTCAGTTCATGAGGAAAGGCTTTTGAATGTGACACCCATTTCAGATATTGCTAAAAATAATGTCAATTTCCAGTAATTCCGAGTCAGCTTTTGATTACAGGAAGTCTAGAAGTCAACTTTAGCATTTGTAAGAAAATTTCTGTTAGTGAAGCTTAGACCTAAATATTACCTTCCAAGTATTGTTTATTTTATAAGCATAATTTCAAGGTGCTCTCTTTGCTTAGAACTTATTTAGGTCTGTGCCATTTTAGTAAAATATGTAGATTCAGGGATTTTTCTTGAATGTTTGTTTGTAAGGCTTCCCATAATCTTTCATGTATAATGGCTTGAATTAAAGTTATGTATGTGCTTTTAGCTGAGCTCCAGTGGGGAAATATATGCATGAAAATAAATTACTGTAGGTGGAACTAATTAATTCCTTGATTGGCAGCTCAGCAGATAAAGTCCTGAATAGGATAATGTGGAATGTCTTTGCTATTTGGCTCAGTTGTAGCTGGCCAAGAACTTTAGGTAAAACCTCTCCTCTTCTACCTGACTTTGTAGCCTCGAGGCAAGGGCTGAAGAACTGAACTGATGTGAAGACAAAATTATCAGTCCAGCCTTCTGTAATCCTGTGTACATCGTCCTTGGAGCCAGGCAGGGGCCTATCAAACTATCAGGGAGATTTGCTTGTCTCACTGACATAACTTCAGCTCCCTGCTAAGGCACTGCCTTATCGCCGCTGACAAGATTACAGCGGTTTCCTTGATAGTGTGGGGAACTTTGCAGGCAGCTGTGGCTAATCCATAAGGAAATGTTCTCCCACTGAGGTGCGTGGAGAGATTTGAATGCTGCAAGTATATTTGAAAAAAGTATCATTTTTTAAAGCATGTTAATTCTCATTCTGCTTGCTGATGCATAGGTGCAGATACAGGTTAGCGCTCCTGTAAAAGCTAAGAACTCAGCCTGGACTGATGCTCACTGGCTTCTCCTGGAAGTTGGGATGAGAAATCCACGTGCAGCACCCTGAGGCACACAGGCCATCTTCTGGGGACACTCTGGGAGGTGATCTTTTGTGAAGCTGGTGGTTTGTGTCACGCTCTCTGCTGCTGTGATAGCGAAAGCCACAAGTTCACCTTTATCTGTGTAAAACTGGACTCTGAGATTTGTGTCTTGGCTGGGGAGTCGGTGCTCAAAGCCATAAAGTAAAACAAGGGGGCTCAGTTAATTTTCTGGGGTGTAACAAGCCTGGTAAACTTGGCCAGGCTCACTTCATCTGTGTGAGAAGAGCCAGTTTGGTCTCTGTAGAAAGTGAGCCTCCCCATTTTTCTCTTCTGGGGTTGGTGGGTTTACCCTGCCTGGATGCCATTTGCCCACCAAAGCCCTTCTGTCACTCCCATTCTCAGGAGGGGACAGGAGAGGAAACGTGTGCATTTAGGAGACAAGTGGAACTGGCACCACTCTGTAAATGCCTGCACTGGAGCAGTGAAAGAGCTCACAACAGCCTGTGGCTGTCGGCCCCTGCTTCAAGGCAAAGATGTAAATTAGGAAGGCAGACTTAAAAGTGTTTCCCAAAGTTAAAGGGCTGCTTTGATGGAGAACAGTGTAAGGAAATGAGCACACATATTCCTGCAGAAGGCAGAAAGGTGACTGAGTTACATGTGTTACATAAACCCTGAGGGACAGAGATGAGTCCCTGTAGTCCACAGAGCATCTTAATGGGAGTGGGCAGAACAGCGTTGGTGTGGATTAGCTCAGACTGTACAGTTACTATGTGTAAGATGTGAAACAAAAATGTAACTTTATTGCTAATACAGCAGAAATAATTTAAAAAAGGAGTTGTTTTGGGAGGTATACCTTAATGCTCAGGTAGGTTTGGGACTGTCTTATGAGGCTCTTTCAATTTTCTTTTGTGCTGTCCTTGCTGTTTAGACCTGCAGATAATTTTGTTGTTTCAGTTTTTCTATTTGTTCCCATATTACTTTGCTAAAATACTTAACTGAAAGGGAAGAATGTTTTGAAGTAAGAAAACCCTATTTTCAGTTAGATAGAAAACTAAACCACTGATATTTACCAGTACATCAGTCCATATTAGTTTGGTAATAACTCTTTGTGCTTGAAAAGTTTTACCTGCTTGGCTGCTTCCTTTGGGACTAAGAATTGACGGAAAGAGAATTTCAATAAATGCACTCCTTCCAAGGGCTTTGAACAACGTGCAATGGGAAAAGGTTGTGTAGTGTTGTATTGTATTGTATTATCCAGGATTTCATTTTTTGAAGAGATGGGGTAGAGAGAGCAAGCTAACAGTGTGTTTAGTTCTGAGTCACTTATGTGGCCAGCCAAAACTGTTGGCATACTTCCAGTACATGAATCTTTTTCCACCTTTATGGGAGGCACTGTTTGTATGTTTAAAAGAAAAGAAGTTGAGCCTGCCTCTTGAGATTCCAAGAACAGCAGTATTTCTGTCTTTTTTCCAAGATGGCATAAGTGTGGCTCTAAGGAGTTTTGCAGCTTGTGTAGGTGTTTCACCAAAAGCTCCAAGAAGAAACTGAGTCACTTGCAGTTAGTTGTTGAATAGTCCAGCATGTAATAGTTCAGGTGAAAAACTGCACCAGTTGTGTTGTGGGCACTGTTCAGTTCTGGGACATTTTCTCACACTCGGTAAGGACTGGTGTACGTGTACCATGGGAGGTTTTACTCAGTTACATCACTGAGTCAGGGAAATGAAGCTGGTGCTGTTTGCCATGTGATTTGCAGATGACCAAAACCAATGTGGCAGAAGGAGACACTTCAGAACAAAGTGCTCTGTTGTGGAATATGAACTGTCCCCAGTGCTGCTGCTGTGACACTGCAGCTGGACAGCTGCATTACACAGCACTGCTCCCAAATCCCACTCTGCATTTGGGCAGTTAAGAGTTAGGGAAAACTCAAACCAAAATATGACACAGTCCCATTTCAGACACTATGAAGTAATTAGTTCAGTAATCCCAGATAAAAAAATTTAATCTTTCTATAGAAACAGTGCACTGTTTTACAAACGTGTTCATTTGGTTTCCAGTACAGCAAGTGTTACACAGAGCCCCCCGCCCCTCCCTGGGCCTTTTGTCTGGAAGGTAAGAACTGAAACACAAAAGGCACCAAGCAAGAACTTACTCTAACAGAACTTCAGTATGACAAGACAGAGCAGAAATTATTACAATGTTAAATATCACCCTACCAATCTGAACCATTATTTAAAATAATTAACTTCTTAAAAAACAAATTTGGTGTTTGACTTCTCAGTAGTTATAAATCTGTAAAGGTTGAAATCAGCACTGCACATTGAGTTAATTTACAATGGTTTGAATAAACCTGCAGCCTTTTATACGTGGTTTGTACAGGTTTGTTTGTGTGTTCTTAAAAAAGTATCAAAACTGTAGAACTTTCTTATATATTTACATTCGTCTGTTAGTTACAGTGTTATCACATAAAGCCTTTCTCAGCTTTTTTCTTCATGCACACAGTGCATGAATTTATAGAAAGAGAGCTTCATACCTTAAAACAATAATGGGATATCTCACTCATGTTGTCACTGCCTTAAAATCTAAAATTTGGAATAGAAGGATGCTTGATTACTTCTGTATTGTCTATGCAGGCCATGAGGCATTTGAGAGTATGTATTATGTATGTAATGCATACCAGGGCTTTAAACACTTTCTTTCTTATCTTAGTCAAGAATCAGCTTCCAGCTCACATTACTCTGTAAATTTATTCTAAAAGAAAGGAGAAAAAAAAAAGGAAAAAAAACCCTAAACCTATTCAGCCTGAGTTTCTTCTACTCACTCAAATACAAAAGCTTGGACTGACATAAAAACATGAGGAAGATTTCTCTAGGATTTGGTACAGTTCAGGGAGGTACTAGTCCATTATGCAGTGGGAGGTAAGTGTATTCACTTCCCACAGAACTCCGAGGAAATCCTATAGAATAAGATGAGAAAAACCAAGTGTTTTTCTTGCCAGGTGCAGGATGACCCAGCCAAAGACCCTGGAAAGGCTGGTTTTTTTAACCTGCCCTGGCCTCCTTGCCCAATGCTCTGGGAGACCTGCCAAGGGGCAGCTTGTTCCATGGGCAGGACTTGGGATGAGTTCTGTGTGTGCCACAGCAGCTCCTAAAATTGGGGGGTTTTTTTATCAATATGAGCAGAGGACAAGGGCAAGGAGGGAAGGAAGTGACTTTTGTTATTGTGCTGTTTTCCTGATGAATCAGGGAGAGTGCTCACTTGGGAGTGTGGAAATATATGGCTGAATCTTTGTTTCTGTTAATTCTGAGCCGATTTAAGAGATTCAAGATCCTCAGTGTGGAAAAGCATTTAAATTTACATTTAGAAACAAATGAACAAAAACCAAATCAGATTTGTACCAAACTGTAAAAATGCAACAAAACAGGACAAAAACCCTGGGTGCTGTAGGAGTTTCTCCTGACTGAAATGCTGTAGACAGTAGCTCTCCAGTTTAATGCACTGCATGGATTCTTCATGGATAGACTGGAAAATGTAAAAGCAGCCCTTAAGGGCCAGGATGGAAATCAGGAGCTGTTTGTTATGGAGTGCTTCACTGGTCAGCTATCTTACACTACAGCTCTTTCTTACATTGTGTCTTTAGATTTCAAAGCAAACTTCTCAAACATCCTGTAAAAATTCAATTATTCCTAATTTTCATAAATGTAGGCTAGTAGTTTTAAAATATATGTATATATATTTATATATATGTATATATTTATATGCCTATATATCTATCTCATCCAGATAGATATATACACAGATAATCTATGCACAGCAAGCCAAACATACAAAAAATAAATACTCTCACCCCTCTACTGTATTTACAGAACAGATCTTATAATCCAGATTTTGTTAATAAATATTTCTAAACTGTCTGTACAGAATTTATTTTACTTATGTTGATGGATAGCCACAAAGCATATTCAACATATTTACAAAATATCTATAAATATAGTCTTAAAATAAAGCAATAGCTACTGAACCTTCAGCCTGGCTGGTTATGTACATTGAGTTAGTAGCTCAGCTGTTGCTTATTCACTATCACAAATGGGTAGTGCAACAAGTTAAAATGTGTATAAAAGATTATACATACAAAACTCTCACATCCTTTGGATGTTTGCAGTTCATTATAACTTTGTGGTTACCCTTCTGCAACATAAATAATGACCAAAAAGAAGAAGCAGGTTCTGTGATCCAAAGCAGATTTGTTCAGTGTTCAGATGATTGGAGCAGCATCTTCATCCTCACGGCAACCCATCATCTTCTAAGCTTAATGCTACACGCTGGGGAGAGAAAAACACACTTTTGTGAACTGTGATACTGGTGCTAACTTGTGTTTCTTGTTAGAACTCTCATGTCTGTCCCTACTGTATTGGTCACAAGTCTGTTCTAGATAGTGATTTTTTTTTCCTCCCCAAATGAGGTCACTTGCTCAAGTGTTACTAAAGAGGTGCTGGCAAGTTTTCTGCCCGTGTATATTGGCTAAAATTCCTTGTAAGGGATGGCACTTTCTCCAGTGTGATCTTGTGTGGGACCTTTAGATCATAGAGGACATTATCCACCCACTTGCCTGCCTACAGGAGCTGTACTGCCTTCACTCATTACTCTGGATCTTCCTGCTCTGTCCTGAAAATACAGTGCACTTAGACCTGCCAGTGCTCCTCTCCCCAGGGATGCTGCTGTGAGGGAGGATCCTTTTCCTTAACTTCTTACAGAACCTCATTCACTTCTCCTTGTGAGGCATGTGACTTTTCTTTATACTGTTACTATAGAAAAAATATTCCCCCTGGTTTGTAGAGAAACTCAATTTATCTTTAGGATAGTTTGGGCATTTGGTAGCAGCCTAAGCACAGATAAAACAGAATCCAGCAGGGAATGAGTAATCACCTGTCCCATCCTGAGGTAGCTCTTGAGGGAGCTTTACATTTGTCAGATTGGTACCTTGGTTAGGACAATTATTCTTCATTTGGACTGAGTATCTGATCCAGAGCACTTCATTCTAAGACAACTGCATGGGCTGCCAGAAGTTTAGGCCTCTGCCTAATCAATGCTACTAAAGCAGTTCTGGTTTTTGTCATTATGTGGCAAATAAGGAACACTAATCCACATTCTGTATTGGAACTCTCAACAGAATTCATCTTCATCAGCAGCCATCTCCTCAGGTACTTACTGCAGGGTACACGTGTCCAATTTGGGCAGTTCGCCCAATGTGGATTTCATCTTCATCTTCCTCTTCTGTTGTCTTCCTATAAACTGGATTATCAAAATTCATGCTTTTAGTATTCTTCCGCTTCCAGTTTCTCCAGATGAGGTATCCCCCCATGCACAGCAAGCCAATGACCACTGAGGAGAGGAGAGGGGAGAGAAAGAGCTGTTAGGCAGGCATGGATCTGCTGGGATGTTCCCATGTCGGCAGCCATCCTCACAACATTTTCTCAAGGCTGGGCTACTGTTCCCCAGTTCAGCAGTTACTCTTTCCCACCCCACCCCTGAAAACTGGAAAAGTGTATTTAGTGTGGTAAATACAATATTTTGGTATTGCATTTTGGTGAACTCCTTCAAAGGTTAAATCCAATCTGCTTACCCACAGGAATGACAATCCCAATCACAGCTGCTGTCACAGTTGAACCGAAGCCTTCATCATCATTTGCATCTGTAATTACAGAAATGTTCTGATCATTTAACTCGTTTGCTGCTTTAAAATAAAGTTTTCTGTTAGTACCTAAGCTGTTCTGCCCATCAGAAAGCTTTTGCAATTAAAGAATTTACAGAAAGTTTCATAATAAAATTATTCTGGTGACACTGAGCAGCGCACAGGGATCTGGGCTGAGCTCCTTCTCCTGAGGAACGAGGTCCCTGCAGCGCGGCTGCCTCACCGGGGGACAGGGACAGCCCAGAGCCTGAGGCCAGTGAAGGGACACGCTCCAGGCTCCAGGGCTGTCGGAGCAGCTCTGAGCAGAAATGGGTGACTGTGCTCAGGCCTCCAATTTTCACGCACAAAAAAGGAGGCCAGTTTTAAAAACCTGACATTTAATGGAAATGCCATGCAGGCATCAGGGGATGGTGAATAGCATTCCTAAAAATCCACAACAGAACACTTTCTAGTACTGACACAATGAATGACTTATTGAGCTGTCAGAAAAAGAGTGTAGTTCAAAGCCATCTACACAGCTTCTCTGTTTAATTTTTTCCTTTTTTGTTATTTATAGCTAAGGTGTTAGTGAACACATCTATCCCTCATTGCTGCAGCCTGCCCCAGCATGCAAGAGTGGTCCCAAAACTCAATACTGTACTTAGAAAAAAGCAATTACAGGAAAATATAATTTAAAAAAATTCAATCTAACCTTTCAAGTTCTGTACTTTAAAATGTTTGCTCTCAGGTCTCATATCAGTAGAGAAAATCTACTTTTGCTAAAATATCAGGAGTTGCAAGAGTAGGAACTAACTGTACTTTTTCTTTTGATACACCAATTCATGCAACTTTTAAATACTTTCCTCTGGCAGGTTGTTCCATTGCATAGTTATTTACTTAATAAAAAGCCACACTATTTCCAAAGTGGACAATAAAAGCACTTTGCTTCCATGGTTTGTTAAAAAGGCAGTTGTAGCATTTGAAAGAAACTTGCACAAAGAGAACTGAATGCATTTTAGCCATTGGACTGTGCTTTCCCCATGCAGCACAATTCCACAGACAGGGGTGGTGTATTGCTGCTTTCCAGATGTAGTGGAAACAGTGAAACATTTGGGGGAAAACATAATTTCACTGTTTTTAAATATGCATGTCTGTTTGAGGTCTTGCAGAGCAAAATCTTCTCTCTGGACTAGAATTTTTTTTTAATAGCAGTTCAGCCTTTCTGCTTTGTCTTGGCAGCAGGACCTGGAGGGATTGCCTGTTAGTTCTGAGATTGAGGCTGGTGTTCCATTGAGGAGAGCCTGTTAATGCTCTCCACTGGGATGCTCTTCTGATAAATAATGCAAAACTTCAAACCTGTGTCATGATGAGGCCACATTAACATGCCAAGCACGGCCACACAAACCAGAGGCAGCTTGTCTTGGGCTGTAGTGATTCCACATGTCCAGCAGCACTAAAGATGCACAGGGGGAATTTTTCACCCAGAACTCGTGAGGGATCACATTAATAAACAATTAAAATAGGTGAAACACCTGCAGAATCAGCCATTCTACTGTCTGCAGCACTGAAGCTGGGATGAGCCAGTACTGGGCACAAGGCAGGGGCTGATGTGAACTCTCAGGGTTGTTCATGTGCCTTGAACAAAAGCTGATACAAGTTCCTTGACATGCCAAGTGACTGGAATTACAGCAGCCATCATAACCTAGGTGCCTGCAGAGAGAGGAGCTGATGTCTCCTGCCTGCACCTGACCCCTCTGGAATTCAGACATTAGGTCAGGTCTCCCACCAGTGCATGAGGAGTTGTGATATAGGAGAAGGAAAGGAATCTCATTCTCTTACAGTGCTGTGATAAATTGCTGTTTCCAGTGGTCATCTCAGAGTCTATCAGGATGGATGTGGTGGAAAGTAAATTAAGACTTGGGGTGGTGATTGTAGCTTCTGGTACAGCTTTGGGGACGACTTCAGTGGTGTCATTGGCACTGCCAGGTACAGCAGCGATGGTCGTGGTGCCGTCAGCACGGGACGCTGTGCTTGTGGAAACCACTACAGGAGTTGCAGTGGTTGGAAGATCTGAAAACCAAGAGCAACAATGAAATTTGGTTAAAGCAAGTACACCAAACAAATCACAATTGGTGATATAAATCTAGAAAGGATTTTATGTTTAATGAAGAGAAGCAGAAACTAAATTCCAATTCTATTTCCCAGGTAGTCAAACTATTGACAGTGCTCTGCCTAAAGCTACAGAAATTATTTCCTGAAGTCAAGCTTGATTAATTGATACTAATAAAAAAAGCAGTCTGTATTGAAGGTAGCTAAGAAGTTCACAAACTTGGGCGTTTTTGAGAACCTCCTAAGATTCTCAATTTGTACCAGGAACTTGTTGCATGTTAGGAAAAACTACAGTGAAGCCACTTGTCTCTTCAGGATATTATCAGCAACAACTGTGTCCTCTTCAGACCTGGTATCTATCTATAAATAGATATATAGATACCTAAATAGATATAAATACATATTGTGCATATATATATATATATATATATAAAACATAAGCAATATATCAATATATGAGTAATCAATTTTTATGGTGCTGTTCCCTAGTCCTTTTTTCTCCCTTCCTGCTGTATCTTTTTCTGGGTAAGTTTTCCAAAATAAGCAAGCTTTCAACAAAGGACACCACAGTGCTGCTGTGCTCAGAGGGCAGCAAGGAGTGGAATACAGAAGCTGGTGTTTGTGTTTTCACCATCAGGAAATATATCTAATGTAAGTATGATTTTGTTGGGATAGTGAAATGGAGATGTGATTGTGTTTACCTTTGTAGCATTTTTTCATGTCAGGACCCAGCCACATATTGTCAGGACAGGCACAAGTGTACTTGGGGGAATGGGGCGAGATCTGAGGTGCAGGAAGACACAAGTAGTCACAGCCTCCATTTGGCTGGGGGCTGAGCTCACAGAAATCTGGAGCTGTTCAAGGATGGAAGAAAAGACAAGTTATTTTTCTAATAATTTATTTCCTGCCCTTGGCAAAGAAATATCAGATCCCCTGAAAAGACCTTCTCCCGCTCCCTACCTCAATTTATCAGGCTGCTTAAGCATCTTTACAGTTTGTACGGTAGAGTGGAGCCTTACAAAGTACTATAAAAACTTCCCAATGCATAATGAATGGGAAGCATCACAGTGACAAGAGTAACTCACTGTTATCAAAGATGCTAATTAAACAGCTATTAGCAAATTGCAGATTCTTCAATAAATGCTGCTTCTGAATTAATTATGCAGGAAGTTCAAACATTAGGCATTGATTTCCCATTATTACCTGTGCATTCTCTCTCATCAAGAACCATCAGGGAGCATTTCATTTGCCAGCTCAAACAAACCTGATTCAGGTCCATGACATCCTGAGGACACCTCTTACCTTTGGGCTGCTTTAATTCATGGAACACCACGATGTCATGAGGGTTATTGAGATTCTCTGCCAGAATGGAGATGTCCAAGCCATTGAGCCTGTTTGCACTGAAGATCGCCTCGTTCTCCAGGTCAGTCCAGAACACTCTGTCCTGCAGGGAATGCACAGATTCCTGACCTGGCCTGCTCAAATCCTACTCGAGTTGGATTAAACTCCAGCAGACACAAAGTCAGTGCACCATGTTCCTACCTTGGGGCACCATCCTGTTCACGCTACTTCTGTCTGCAGCTTTTTTCTATTTTGGACAATGTTCAAAAGCCCAGCACTCCTACAAGTTTACAACGTGCTGTATAATTTTGAGTAGCCCTGAGACTGAGGTGAGGGAGCAGAAATTTGTTAAGGTACAGACAAGTGTCATCCATGTTGTTTCTGAACTGCTTTTTCTTTGTAAGTTGAGGTAGAGCATGAGCAAGGGGCCACACTGTCTACTAAAAACATTTGTTACTTTGCTGATTTTTTCCTCCTTTCCCAAGATAAGACCTGCATTAAACAGGTATCTGTGAAGAGGCCAGTGCCAAGAGCACACCTGGAAGCTGAGCATCCACTACTCTTTTATATGACTATCTTTTGCATGGCATACTATGCCTGAACATACAGAACTACTGGTGGAAGAGGTACCCAGAAATCACATTATTACCAAACAGTTTAATTGCTTGGTCATCTGTGTGTGCTTCTGCCTCCTAAACCCATGTGTATTTCTGTAAGGAAAGCCACACTGCTGGACAACAGGGGCAGATCAGCAAAAGCAAAAGGGTTGTCTGTTATTCTACCCAGCCATTCCTACCAGAAAGAATGGAGAGAGGTGAAATAACCCAAGAGATCCTTCCAAAGGCTGCTGATGGGGATAGCACTGAAGAGCAACAATGACCTGGAGAAACCTATGCCCAAAGTTAGATGCCCAGATATCACACACTTCACATAGGAGGAATAAGGGATTTAAGAATGAGGGTTTTCCTGAGCCAGAAGCCAAGTGGACCTTTCTCTGCTATAACTTACCTACAGTGAGTGCCAAAGTTGAAGCCTTTGTTCCCCATATCATTTAATGCACTGGTGCTGCATTTGGTAAAAAGCATGAGATAACACTTTGCTCTTGATTAAGGCTTTAAAAACCAATTTCCCTGCTGAACCCACACGAGGTTAATCGGTTTCTATAGTAGCAGCTGCCCTCACTGAGCTCTGTGCTGTGCAAAAGGCAGAACTTTTAATCAAGAAGAGCTCTGAGACCTCTTGCAGGCTCCAGTCTGTTCTGCATCCGTTTTCCACTCTTACCTCAAACACTGCCAAGCCAAAAGGATGGCTCAGATCATCCACAGAGGAGATCAGAACTTTTCTGTTGCTGCCATTGAAATCAATGCAGGACAGTGAATGCAATTTGGAGTCTACCCAGTAGAGACGCTGATTCAGCAAATCTGGAAAGTAAAACACAATGAAGCAAAATTACACACAGTTCTTGCAACTCTTTTGCTCTTGCCCAGCATGTTTTTCCTGCTGGCAGCATGACTAATCTCTTTATTATTGGGACTCTTTTTTTTTTATTAACACTAGTTCTGATTTTGAATCAGTGCCCAGATATGCTGGAATAAGACCCTATAAATAAGATTAAAAAGGAGGAACATTCTGCTGTGTGTGTGTGGGGAATGCCTGACTGACAGCCTTGTACAATGAGGTTATTTTGTTACCAGGAGCAGCAGGGAAGCAGCAGTTTGGGCTTCCCAGATTCTCTCCATCAGTGCCTCAGTGAGAAGCTTCATCCCTCCCAAGGTTGTTCAGGCCTTGGCCTCTTGCTGGAGAAATCAATTGAGATTCCAAGGAAACACCTCTCTGAAGGAGCTGTGAGATTCTGTGAGAGTCACACATTTCCATGAAGATGAGTCCTGGGGCAGGAAACCCTTCTTATGCTGCAGGCTGGAGGAGTCTGCTGGTGGGCACAGTCCTACCACAACCAGCCAGGTTTGGGGAGGGTGCAGGTAAGAGTGGGAGAAAAGGATCCAATGTTATTTGGAATGCTAAGAACTGCATTTCTCTTTCTGGAGCAAATTCACTCATTTTGGATGGGATTCAATGAACAGAATGCAAGTGGATGAGAGCCAACAAAACCAGTTATATAATTAAACAAGTTAATTAATTAATTTCATAATTACTAAATGATAACATTATTTGTTCACAGCAGTAGCACTTCAGCAGTATGAAATGGCAGCAGCATTTCCTCCTCCATCCTTGCCACAGCCAGCGTTTTCAAAGCCAAGCAAAGAACCTCACATCTGCATGGTGTTGAACACACACAGCTCCAGCTCCAGAGCAGGATGTTCCCTGCTGCTCCCTGAAACCTCCTTCCCACTCTGCTGCTTGGTGTGGCAGTGAGAGCCACCACAGCCCTCTGATGGGCTCCATTCACTCTGAGCAGCTGAGCAGGCAGGGAATGGTGACAGGGAATGGGCTCTGCAGGCCCTGTCCCTCTCCCTGAAACACTGTGCATCATTCATCAGTCCAGTGCAGGATCCTGACACTGCTCCTGAGACAGGCCCAGGTATAGAGACATTTAACACCAAGGATTCAAATGCTTTTCAGACTTCTAAAGGGCTGTCACAGCTCTGAATCCTTCCCCAAAATTTCCTTTTGCCTTAAGGCACAATGACAAGCAACTCAAGGCTCCTGCAGTATGAAGTTCTGACTACAGCAAGACTTCCTGTCTGTGCTACTGAGATAAGGGAACTCATGTTTGTGAACAGTAGTGACTGACTGACCAGTTTAGGATTTTGTGTGCAGGTGCCTTTGAGCATTAACAATTTTGTTTTCCCACTTAACAATAAAACCAGATTTCCCTCAGCCCCAGTGGGTGCTGCAGCTCTGACGTGGCACTTACCAAGGGTGATGCCGTTTGGCCACTCGATGTTGTCGGTGACCAGCACCCGCCGCCCCACGCCGTTCAGACCGGCCTTCTCGATCTTGGCTTTGTCTCCCCAGTCAGACCAGTACATGAACCTGAGAGAGGCAGAGGTAAGACAGCAATAACCTGGACTCCAAGTTAAGAAACCTGCACTACTGATTGCAGTAGGAGGTGCCCAAAGGTTCTCTCCTTGCTGTAGCAATTAATTCCTCTGGTGGAACCATACGCAGTTCTCCCACTGGGTAATCTGCCACTTGTGCCAGAAACTTGTGCCAGAATGCAGCATCTCACCCCAGTAACTAGCCCCTGAAAACTCTCCTGCTGTGCCTGTTAGGTACCTGGCATTCACTCATCCAAATAGCCCAAACACCTGTCAGACAGACTTCATTTCCCAGCACAGTGCCGGGACCAGCTCAGGCGCATTGAACACATGAACTGGCCCTGAAATGACTTTAACAGCAGGGACCTTGCCAAGGGCTAGTTAAAGCATCTCCACAGTCCCACTGCAGGGTGTATCTTAAAGAGCATCTCAAGTCCTGGTGAGATGAGAACTACCCCCAGGTTTGTGACTGGAATGTCTCTTTGGCAAAGGGGTGTTTGGGGTGTGCACACCTACCTCTGTGTGGGATCCACAGCGATGGCTCTGGGCTCACTGAGGTCACTGTTGAAAAGTGTCCTCCTCCTGCTTCCATCTGCAGTGGCCACTGAGATGGTCTTGTTTCCAGAGTCTGTCCAGTAGATGTTCTTATGGACCCAGTCGATGGCCAGTCCCTCGGGGGAGTTGAGCTGGCTGTCGATGAGGATCACCTGCTCGGCCGTGTCGCTGGCTTTGTCGATGTAGGCGCTGCAGGGACAGGTCACAGGGCTCCCACACGGCTCCCAGAGCTGGGCCCCAGGGGCAGCGTGGCTGACACAGGAACCCTTGTGGTGCTCCTGCAATCTTCTGCTTTCCCCTACAGCCTCTCATGTCCCCATTCCCATATGGCAGCATTTCCACGGTAGGGAGCTGTGCATTTCATCATTCTACCTGCTTCCTACTGTAACTGCACAATTCAGGAAACATTTGACTTCTGGCATGTTAACTTCAACAGCACTGATTTGTGGGATTTATGGACATTAAAAATATAATCTCCAGAGCTCTGCTGAACAGAGTTGAACTGAGCATGCAATAAATGTGCTTAAATGTTCCGCAGAATTAGGAGCTGTGTAGCTCATTATGACTCATCAAAGGAATTCATGAAGCTGCATTAATTTGGCAAGTGATTTCACTAGATACAAACAAAATGTTCACTAAATATTAGTGGCAGCCTCAAAATCTTTCAAAATGATAATGAAAGGCAGCAGACTCCACATGGATGTTTCATAAATAACTGGAATGTTGCTCCTACAACCACACAGGCTGATTCTGATCTCAGTATCAATTCTGCTGAGTGCACTGCAATTAGTTATTCTGAGTTTGCATCAGTGTTTGCAGAAGCTTAGTCTGGCTCTAAGAATAACTCAGTACATCTTAGAACAGTTACAAAGCAGCAGGAAGTTTCTGCCCCTCATCCCAAATATTTGCTATCGTAAGATGCTTCCTCTTCACTGCCCATCCTGCCTTTGCTCATGGAATGAGAAGGTGAATTGTATGGGACTTGAGTTCTCCAATATCACATTAGAGCCTTGGAACGGGAACATCTAAACCCAGGAACTCCTGACAGTTTTACAGTCTGCACTCAGGGCTGGAATGGCCAGGCAGAGTCAGCCTGGATGACCAGCACACTGCTGTATCTTCCCTACAAGAATGGTTTTGGTTTGTTCCTGAGCCAGCATCACAGGAATGGTACCTCAGGGCTCTATGGGCATCTGACAGAGCTCCCAGTATTCCAGTATTCCAGTGTGACAAGCACCCCGTGCTCTCAGTGCACAGCTCCAGGCCAGGTAACCCCTTGCCAGTGGAACAGTTGTGTTCCCTGCTTCCCACCTATGCCTGCACAGGAGCGAAAGCAAAGAGGCCCCTGCAGCTTCCACAACGGAAGAGCTCAAGTACAGGTGACTTTTCAATTCTCTCAGTAACCAAATATTGTAAAAGATCTAACACTCCAAAGGAGACATCACCTCAACAGCACAGGATCTGGAAAAGCAAGTGAGATGACCATTATGGAAGACAGGATCTCTTGCCAGTGATTACCTCCTGTACCACAGTTTTTACCTTGCAATAGCCTCTCAGCCACAGACTTGTTCCCAGGGACTCCAGCATATTTGCTGTAGGAGAGCTGCAGGAGCAGTGTCTTGGACAATCCTCTGTGTATGAACTCAGCCCTTACCCAGACCCAGTGAGTGCTGACAGCTCTTTTCTGAACCATCCTCCCACTTTCAGAGCCCCACAGCCCCCTCAGGGTACCTGCCCAGCTACTGGTGGTCAATACCCAGCACAGCTGGGGCAGATATCCCTGCAGGGCATGGGAGCTACCAGAGCCTGGCCTGGCTCCCATGTGCTGACACCAGTCAGCCTGTGCTTGATCATTAGCTGAAATCCAGAGCAAACCACTGCAGAAGCTGCAATAGCTGTGCAAATCAGAATATACACAAGGGATTTTCAGCACATAAATTAAATGCTTTTTTTGCTAAGCACACTCACAAGCCCTGGCACATAATAACTGTGATGGATGCCACAAAAACAGCTGAAGGAGGAGTGAGAATGAGAGTTATAGAATGTATACTGTGGTCAGATGCCGTGAATTTAAATCCAGTCTACCAGAGACTACAGTGGGCAGCAGCTTGTGTCTGTGTGGCTGCCTCCTTGCTCCTACCATTTGCCTGCTTTGTGCTTCCAGATGCCAGGTCCTTTGTGGCCTCCCATAAACACTCACAGCGCAGCAGCAGCCTGAGCCCTGCTTTGCAGTATCCATGGCTCAGGAAACAAGAGCCTACATTTAACTGCTTGAGTGCAGCAGGATCTGGCATTGATGAAAAGTCACCCTGTATTATTAAAGAGATAACTGCACAAGCCTCTGATGTCTTTACCAATTCCCAAAAAAAGATTACCAAGTCTGGACCACAACAGGTTATCCTGTCAGGGCAGAAAAGCCCTCAGGTGCCCTGTACCCTGCACTGTTCTCTGGACTGCTTTGGGGGATACAGATGGAATGCAGCTTTGGCAAGGGACCAACACACACATCCTCTCTTGTCCCTTACCTGTAGATTTTTCGGTAGAACAAGTCACACCAATATATTCTGTTTGTTGACACCTCCACATCCAGCGCCACCACGTTCTTCAGCATGGGAATGATACGGGAATAGTCCCTTTTCACCAGGTCTATTTTACGGACCTCGTGGCGATTGGTGAAGATCAGGTACGGGCTCTTGCCTACCACAGAAAATCAGCACATTTGTCACTTCAGCAGCTGTCCCAAGGGCTGGATTCAGCTTTCATTTGTCAAACAACAATGGAATTAGCAGTCATTGATGGCTGTGTTTGTACTGAAGCTTTACACCACACTGGAAGCAAGTGGAAACTTGCTCCAGAGGCAGGGCTATCAAACGCAGGCACCCCTGTGGTCCCTGGACACACACTGGCACTTGGACAGCCTCTGGGGAATGGCCTCATCTTCATTTCAGCACAAAATCCTGGGCCAGATTTTGGTGACTTACAGCTGGGAGGGTGGAGGGCTGGCTCAGCTACCCTGTTTTAATCGGGATGTTTTCTTTCTTTCAATACTACTACCACAAAATGTTTTTGCTGCACTGTTTTCAATAACACCTGTCAAGAGACTTTCTTTTCTAGTTTCAGCTTCAAACAGCCAAGTAGTGACTGCAATCTTGCTCTGTACACTGTTAAAATATTCTGATCTGCATGATCAGTAGTTCTTGCCTAGAGACGCATCTGCTGTTGCTGCAGCAGCTCTGTGCTGCTCACAGTGAAATTTCTTTGCTTGATTTGCCTGTTTCCTTTTGTTTCCGTTCCCCTGCCTCAGCCCTGCGAGCGTGTTTTCTTATCGGAGTTGTGCTGTTGAGCAAGCAGAGTTTTCGTGCCTGTGGCGTTGTCTTACCTACAGCTTTGCAGTTCTTGGACAGGGTGTCCATCTCGTATCCTTCGTAGCACTCACATTTGTAGTCTCCCTTGTAATTAATGCAGATCTGGCTACAAGCGTCTGGATTCTCACATTCATCTATGTCTGAAAGGAGTGTTTGAAACCCATCAATAACTTGAAATCAAACCATCTGTGATGGAGCAATGCTCGAGTGAATATAATCACGTCTCTCTATGGTGAAACACAAGGGACTGCTGTTTGCATGTCAATTACCTCCACACGTTTTTTTATCCAGAAGCTTGTATCCAGGCGGGCATTCGCACTCGTAACCGATCTTCAAATCTTTGCATATGTGTGAGCAGCCACCGTTGTTCATCGAGCATTCATTAACACCTGCAGGGGATACACAGATCACCTATGACAAATCGGGGCTTTTAGTTGTGAGATCGAATAAGACTAAGAGATTTCCTCAGAAATTTTCCCATTTCTGTCAGTTTTGGTACTGGCCCTATAGAGCACGAGTGCCTTCAGAGACAGGAAGCCTCCACTGTATCACTATCTTACTCTTTATTATTCCAAACCAATGCTGGGGGATCATTTGGACTCAAAGCTAGTGGCTGAATGAATGGGGAGCCCTGGGGATACAGCGAATGTGAGTCTCTGCATCTCATCCCTTCAGAGAGCTGCTGCTTTGAGCTGTTCTGCCACATGTGAGAAACTTCCAGGGGACCTAAGGGCTCTCACCAGCATACTCCTCCTTCCCCATGCGCTGGTGCATGTTGACTTTTCTGAACAGTCTCTCTGAGCTTTAATAATTCATGCTGGGGGACTATCATCTCCCAGGGGCCAGCTATTTTGAAATACTCTACTATTTTCCCATCTAGCTCCAAGGAATGATCTATGTGAAAAATTCCAGAAAACACCGAAGTGCAGTCTGTCAGAGATACTCCATTAGCACTGAGATACAGTCCTCCCACAAACACGTCCCCCACAACAGTCTTTGCTGGCACCCCCAGCAGTCCCAGTGTGCAATTTACAAAGCAACAGCCCCCATCCTCTCCTGGGGCCTTTTCTAATCCACCTCTCCGATCCTGCTCTCAAGTGCTGAAATGAAAAACAGAATAAATGGATTCTTGAAAGTAGAACTGAATGAGAGGTTGGGAAAAGCTGGTTTCCTGTCAGAGAAAGCATTTCTTTTTGTTGTAATTGACCTACAAAAGGTGAAGAGAAAGTTCTCTCCTTAAGAAAGACTGCTGAACAGGAGTTGTGGGATTTCAGGGATAGTGGACTCACCAGAACAAGGAAAACAGATTTGCTCCAGTCTATAATGCAATTTAAAGGCAAATTTTTCATTTAACTTTTACTTCTTTCTTCCTTGCACACTGCAGGAAAGCAGCACAGCAGAGCCATTAAACCATTGCTCTTGGAAGAAAATGGAAACAACCACAACCCAATTAAGTCAGTAAGACAGGGAAAATACCATGCCAGAAGGAATCCATCTCAGCTCTGGGATGCTTTCACCTTCCTAGCAGGGACATACAGAGATATCAACACATAATTAATGGAGCAAGTTCACCAGCCTCCGAAAAGGTGTCCACAGTCCCATTGTGTGTTGTCACTGTTCAGTGACATTTATGGACAGAAATCTCCTACTCCTACACTTGCACAGGTCTGCAGCAAATTGGGTCAACATGCACAACTGCTCTCTGCAAAATACTACAAAGACTCTTTTGATTAACAAGGCAACTCTCACTCAGATGATTCCCCTGGTTTCTGAGGTGCTCTGTGGAATGGATTTAGGGGCTGTAAATCAAGTGCTGGTTCACTTGCTGCACTTGCCAAGAGGAGCTGAGGAGGAGCCAGGCAGGAGCACCCTGGGCAGCTGCTGCTCTTCACCCAAACCTCAGCAGTATATTCCCTGCCTGACTAAAATAGCCAAGCGTTGTCCTGCCTTCTGCAGTGCTTTTCTGGGGGACTCTCAGAGGGCACTGCAGAGTTTAGCATGGCCAGACAGACACACTGAGCTGGGGAGTGTGTCCTGCACCTCTGCCTCCTGTGGGGATAACCTGTGTGTGCACATTGCAGTCACAGCGCTGTGCCCTTTGAGAAACACCTTCCCCTGGGGGCTCTTCTCTGCTTCCCAACTCAGACAACACCTCATTGCCAGCCCAGGGCTGCACCAATCATGGCACCATGATGCTGGATTGAGCACCAGCCCAGCTGTGCCACTGCCCAGTCTCCTATGACAAACAGGGCTGCCAGCTCTGTTGGGAGACCTCCACAGACAGACACTGCAACACCCACTCAGAGAAACAGGGAGATGTGGATTAGTGGAAGAAAGCAAGGGCACACTGGAAGCATGAGGTAGGAGCATCTTCACTAGGCATGCACACACTCTTCCTTGTCTAAAACAGGGAGAAACTGACAGTTCTTCCTGAACAGGAATTATTTAAGGGCAGCCACTGAGCTCCATGATGTCATGGAAGGAGACGCCTGTTGGAGACATCTCTGCACTGGGGAGAACAACAAATGTGTTTGAGTAATGCTGCAGATTGGGGCTGGTGCCCACAATGACTGGTGGGAAAGGCAAGAGAGGGCTGTCCTATGGAGAAGGGCATAGGTCTGTGGCCTGGGCTCTGTTCCCCTGGCTCCAACATCCCCAACTCCCCTGGCATTCCCACAGCCCAGGGCTGGCAGGACGTTGCAGAGAGCAGCCTGCTCTCATTGCTGAGGGAAGCAGCAACAACATGTACAATCCAGAAATGGCTGAAGTCCTCTCTGAGGGATTACTACCACTCTACATGTTTTCACCTTCAAAGCATGTTCCCAGTGCTATATTTTTATGGTGTTATCATCGTCTTAGAATTCAAAGATAATTTAGGCAATGAGGCTAAATAAACCAGTCTGTTGTGGAGGACACTAGTAATTGGGGAGAGGGGGAATTCCTCATTCCTAGTCCCATGCTCAGTTCATACATCCCTCCAAGAATAAAAACTGAGTGGAGAAGGGCACAGTTCAAACTTACAGATGATCAGACTAAGCTACTAATTATATTCATATGAAGGGTGATGAGAGAATAAAGGCAAGGAAAGAGGAGCAGAGTGAGAAATAGCATTAGCAGCTACATGTGGTTACACTCAAAGCTGTGAGCACCAGATGGAGAAAGGGGAAGCAGTTACAACAGGAGCAACACGTAGAAGGCAAGTACTGTACCACATTCTTTCAGAGGCTCGTCAGACCAGTCCCTGCAGTCTCTATGTGAATCGCACACTTTGCCTCCGTCAATGCACTCTCCACTCTTACACTGAAACTTGCTGGGACTTTCACATGCTGACTCTGTCATGTTGGGCAAGAGAGGAAAGCAACTAAGTTAGATGAGGCTTGTGACAACAAACAGGCTGACCTAAAGCTCAGGAGGGCGTCATTAGCAGAAATGGGATGGAATTGAGCAAATGAACATTGAGCCTGAGCATCATGCAAAGAACTTTTCAAGCCATGCAGTCTGCCTGGTCACAACAATCATCTCTCCCAAGCAATCCCACTGCCAGAATGGCTTAAAACTGTACAGAAAGCAGCTTGGCATGGCCCAGAGGAGCAGCACAGGCCTCTTCCCTTTCCAGAGGCCACACAGCCCAGGCAGATTTACCCCATGGAGTACGAGGAGCATCTGTACCCACCTTGGACACAGCCGGCCTCGTCGCTGTCGTCAGGACAGTCGTGCACCTTGTCACACTGCTTTGCTCCATGGATACAGGTCCCATCGCCGCACTGAAATTCATCTGGCTGGCAGGTCACCAGAGCTTTAAGACAACATATTCAAACATCAGCCACACAGAACTCAGTCATTGGTGTGGTACCCAGCATGTTCAGCCATGTTCCTCTGACACTGCTGGGGTTGCATCCTCTGTCAGCAAATGTCAGAGTATCGGCTGTTTCCACCAAAGCAACAGAGGCAGCAGCTGCCTCTGCCACTGTTCTCCTGTGCCCCTCTGCTGTCCCAGGTCACCCTCTAAACCCTTGGGAAAACAGCATCAAAGCCCATATGAGGACACCCAGTCAAAACGAACCCAGTGCCGGCAGTGAAGCTTCTCAGGTGACACAGAACAAAGCAAGCAGGCAGCAAAACTCCCAGCAGTGTGGCAGCTCTGGAGCTGCAGTCTGTGTGAGGCCAGGCTGCTTTCCAGCTGGGAGTGTACAGTGACACTGTGTAGGCAAAGGTAACTGCTCCTCAGCTCTCCTTCCTTCAGAAAAAATTACATTTCAGATACATTTCAAAACATGTTTGGGCTAAAGCCCAGGAAAGAGACCTGTAGTGACTCTGCCAAAGCAATGTGGTCACAGCAGGGATAAAGGCAGCAACGAGACACAATCATCAGATTACCAAATGCCCATGAGCCAACAGCCCACTGGAAGGCAGAAGAGCTCCACTGCACTGTGATGTTTCTTGGGGTTTCCAGCTCTAAACATCTCCACAATATTAGCCCAGTTTTCATGCCTGAAATTCATTTGTCCAGGTCAGACTATAACACTCAGATCTTGACAAACAGCAAAGTTGGGGAAAAATATAAACCAGACTCCTCCACAGACCATGCTAAAAGCAGTCATATATCCCTTCCCAAATTACAATGAATGAGAGACCTCCCTAGCTGGGACCAGCCCTGTGCTGACACAGGGTTCAGGCAGCCTGGCAAAACAGGCTCCTCATTCCTGGACATGTTTTGCAGCTTCTTTCTGAGAGGCCCATCAGATGTGTTCTTAAAATCCTATTAAGGCAGCACACCCTGGAGAGTTCCTGATTGCAGCCTTTCCATCACATGACTGTGTCCTGGTATGGGCTGACAGAAAATCACTGCTTCTGAGCAGTGAGGGGAGGCCAGCACTGGTGTTACTACATGGGAGGTGAGAGCTGTCTGCAGACTGCTCTGGACAATTTGACAAACTGGTTCTAATATAAAAATGAGTAATTTCAGATAACCCAGGAAGAGCTGCAGACATGAAGTGAGCCAGCATCAACACCATAAAGTGTCAGTTGCACAAAGACTCCACATTATTGGTGATTGCATCCCACAGGATGCAGGATCCAGGTTCATGGCTGCTTCACTGGACTAGTTCTAGTGCATCTTCAGCCAGCAAAAGGCATCACAGACAGGAAAAGCCTCAACTACAGGGCTGGAGGGAGAAGGGAGAAATCCTGTCATTAGAAATACACAGTATTCACAAGAGGAAAGTTTGGAAATAGCACTGCTCCTTGGAGAGGAAAGCCATATGCACTATATTCATAAAAGCTGCAAAGTGAGAAAAAAAATCCCAAGTAATAAGCACAGTTATAGGAGCAGCTGTGCTGCCACGTTTCAGCTAATAAACCCAGGCACAGGAATGGGAGGCCTCAGTGGGACATCTGGGACAGCAGCTCCGAACTAAGCACATGGGATCTGCTGCTCTGCCAAATGCAGAAAAATGAAGGAGGGAAAGAAACTAAGCTGTGGTCTGGGAGAGTCACAGAGCACAGGTCTGGAAGTGGCACCAAGAGCTCCGGTAGGAAGGCAGAGTCACTTCTACTCAAACTATTCCTGGCATGTTCAGCCTCCTGCCTGGGGAAGCCCTGACCATGGAGAAAGCACCCTGCTCAACAGGAAACCTGACTTCTGCCAAGCTAAACCTTGGCCACTGCAAGGCTTTTCAGTTGTCTCACTGAAAATTCCTTTGCCACAATTATTTATTGTCTTCACCCCTAGCTTGAAAACCAGTTTTCTGTAGCAACTTCTGCTTTTCTGTAGCAACTTCTACACTGAAAATTCCTTTGCCACAATTATTTATTGTCTTCACCCCTAACTTGAAAACCAGTTTGCTTCACCTTTTCTGTAGCAACTTCTGTGTGTGGAGGTAGGATAGGATGATCCTCCATTTCTGACTGTAAATATTAACCCCTCACAAAAGTGTAACATGTAATTAAAGGAATGGGGTTTTGTCTTTTCTGGAGCAGATACAGGTCTCCAGTTTATCAAGTAAATCTGTGTGACAACAGCTACAGATTTAGAAGATGGCTGCTATAAAACCCATAATTGTCTTCAATTGTAATCTTCAAAGCTCTTCTCAAAAGCAGTTCTAGTAAATGCTAAAACCAAAAATGTTTCTAATCCTAAAACTAATTAAAATTAGGAGAATTTTGTAGGAATTGCAAAGACAATGCTGCACAAGCACCAAAAGACTGAGAGAAAAATGACAGCACAATTCTTAGCTCAGTTGCTACAGAGACTGCAAAACACAGATGTGGGGCTGTACTCCATTGCACAAAGCTTTGCTTCAAGAAGAGACAGAAGTTTGGAGACCAGGCTGGGTTTCCTGGCTCAGTTCTCACTCCACCAGAGCTGTAGAAGTTCAGACCTTTGAGGAGCAGCCCCTGAGTCTCTTAACAGACATCTAGGAAAGGCAGATACAGTAACAGCTCTTACTGATTACAAAGGCACTAAAATGCATGTATGGCATTTCTAATTTTTGCTGCATTTCTCAGGAGAATTCCATATTATCCTGAAGTTGAGGCATTAACCCATCTCAGCCCCACTGGCAGAGCTGACAGCAGGTTCCCATTAAGGCCATTCCCAAGGAAAAGCAATAACTCAAGAAGAGGGAAAAGCTGTGCTGTTTATTTGCACAAGATATTCAGAAAATTGCTGTGCCTAATTTGGAAGGTTTAAATCAGTGAAATCTCAGTAGTTTTACAGCCATCTCCTCAGCAAATCAAATACAAAACTAATTACCAAAGCCCTGCTAAATTAACAGGCCTCCTCAAAGAGACACACTTCTCATTCACAAATCCTGGGCACAAAGCTGCATCGCTCAAATTCAGCAGGTCTATTCCAGACTCCAAACCTGAGCCTCAGTTTCTTCTGGTTTCTGTCTTCTTTTCCTTCCTCCCCAAAAAAGAAAATCCCAACATTTGCAAAATGCATCAATCCCATTTCATAGATGGAGAGACAGAGGCAGGAAAGTGTGAGGTCAGGTCTCAAGGGGTCTGTTTTCTTGCTGTCAGTTGTAAGCATTATTTATTCTCCCTCCTGGATGCCTTAATGCAAGTTGCAAAGGACATTTTAAAATATAACCATTCCAGATTTGGAGACTAATAAATCTAACCTAATGTTCATTTTATAAATATACATATATACATATTTGAATATATATGCTATGGAAAAAACCCCAGCCACCCAATGTTCTCACACAGCCTTCCTGAAATGACTCACTCCTTCCCATTTATTGCTGTCTCGTTGCCAAAACCCGTTCACCAATTGTCACCCTTCATTTCTATTCTACTCATTTACCAATCCAAAATGTTTATAACAAATGATGGTTGATGGCCTCATGACTTTTTTTTTAAAGCATTAGTTCCCATCTCTCTGTTTATGCTGCACAAACCCATATGATCCCCATTTGCAAGACAAGATGTAGTGGTGGGATCTGCAGTTGTTAATCAAGTCCAGCCAAGGGGCCCATGTGCCATCCTTGTTGCTAAGGGGACAGAGCTGTGTCACACACCTGTAACTCTCTGCATGTCCCATGGCTCTGATCTCAAACAGAGAATTTCTGCAGAGGAAAATAATCAGAAAGGTCCCTAAACTCTACAGTCCAACAGATGAGCAGTGATGCTGAGTTTCCAGAGCTCCCAAATGTCCCTTACTGCAGGCAGGTGCACCCCAGCAACAGCTGCATTTAGGATGGGGAAGCAACATTAATTTTGGCTCTGACCCAGCCAACACATCAGCTACACGAGCACTCAGTGCTGCAACTTGGCTGAGCATGAGCACTTGGCTGCTGCCTCAGAGAATCCCATCCGTGCAGTGTGGACAGCTGTGGGCTCACACACTGCTGTGGCACTGGGATGCAACCAGAACCAGGCATTGTGTGCAGAGGAGCACCGAGGTAGCTAAAACAATGGGGCTTTGAATCCACTGTTTCCCAATGCACAGGACTGAAGGCAGCACAATCAGCTCACATCCTTGTTTCTCCCAGGTAGACAAACTGCACATTCTATTGGATTGAGACTTTCTGGAAAGAGACCCTCGTTGTGCTACATCTCCACTAGTCAGAATTCTCTCAAGTCTCTTCTGCCACATTTCCCCCTTTCTCCACTGGTTGTCAGCACCGTGCTGTGCTGCAGCGGTGTCCAGCTGTTCCTGGGAGCTGCCTCTGGAAGTGCTGCTGGCTGAGGCTGCTCTGCAGCTCAGGGAGGCTGGTGGAGCTGTGCTCCTTCGGGCCTCACAGCTGGGCAGTTTGAGCTCAGCTGGACATGGCTGGTGCCTGTCACACCAAGGAGAGAGGCTGGGGAACAGTGGGCCCTCTGCCTCAGGAAGGTACATGGGCACAGTCCCACTCCTCTCACCCAGCAGAATGTCAAAATAAATGGGGCCTGTAAAAGACTTAAAACATTTCAAGTTGAACAGGGATTGAAATTTAAGAGGCATTTCATCAGAAAGAACCATCAGTGAGCTGCTCCCCTCTTTCTGCATTTGGCAATAGAAGGGAGCTCACCTTTCCCTTTCCTGAGCTGTCCAAATTCAGCCATCCTCTCAGGCTGCCGTCACTGCAGGGAATGCATCCCGTGGGGCAGAGATCAGTTCTGCTGGAGTCCCCTGTACCAGACACCAGTTCTTCACCTTTGTTTGTAACATGGCCCTGGCCACTGCCTCCTGATTTGCAGGGGACACAGGTACAGGACTGCCCACGGGAGGTCTCAGAATGAAAACAGGCACCAAACCACCCAGGCTGCCCCAGCCAGCAGTGCCCATCTCCAGCAGCTGTGCTTCTGCATGGCCTTCCTGAAACAGAGCCAGGAACCAACTTTGTCTCCTGACTCCACGGTCCTTGTGGTCCTTCAGACCCTGGCAGAACTGCCTGGGTGCCTGCTGCCCAAGAGCTCTGTCAGCAACTTCAGCACCTTCTTGGAGATGAAGGAAAAGACAGCCTACCTAATCCACCCCTCCTTGGGAGGAGGGCTGACAGCCTTGTACCCAGCAGCCTGAGCTGCTCTCTTCCTAACAGAACATTTTTGGCTTCTATTCAGCTCTTGCCTCTCTTAAAAGAGTCCTTGGCAATTTTAAAAGCACAGCAGCTCCAGGGTAACCTGTGGCTCATCCCTCTGCTCTCCTGCAGTGCAAGTGCTGTCTAGGATTCACTACATCCTTCTCTTGTTAAAGAGAGAATGAATTTACACCTGCTTCTCTGCCTGGAAGGAAGTCTGATGCCCAGCTCCTTGAAGGGCTCTCCCACACTGCTGCTCACCAGCCTGGCCTTGGTGTTGTCACAGGTATGAAAAGATGGTGCTGGCAAAAGTGATACATTTTCTTAGATACCTTGCAAAAATCCCTGGGTTTGCAGCTGGTTGCTGCCTTCTTCCCCAGAGGTGGCCCAATGTCAGAGCTGCTAAATATAAACAGCTATGTAAATATTTAATTTCAATCTTGTCATTATGAATATTCTAGCAAAACATTTTGCTCTTGTTTTCTTCTCTCTCCCTCCTCAGCTAAGTGACCAGCTTGAACAGTTTAGTGGCTAAAAATGGATGAAACATTCAAAATACCACACATACCAACACCAGCTTGTTAAATGCATGAAGCCAGCTGAAAAGAAATCCATTATTTATTAGCTCTGTGCCTTTATCAAGCCAAACTCAAAATGCATTTCAAACTGGATTATTCAGAGGTACTTCTCTTGACTGCCTTGTTCAGTATACTCCAACTTCAGAGGCAGAAAATGAATTATTTTTTTCTGCTGATCATATATTCCCTTTAGCATAGCAGCTTCTAACCTCCAGGCTGTGACCCCACCATGCAGCCTGAGGGCTTTGAACATTTTTTCCACTTTTCACTCCTTGTCTTTCTAGTGAAACAGAACTCTTCTGAGGCACGGTACCATCCAACAGCTCTTACACCTCCTCTATGGATTCTGAAGGAAAAAGCACAGAAGGAGTGTGGAACACCCCTGACCCTGCTGGGCTGGGCACCCAGCCATGTCATGTGGGACACAAGCGCTCCTTGTCTGGCCCAGCTGCTGCTCAGACATCAAAGCCTTTCCTTCAGACACAGCCCCCAGCAGCCTCCTGGCCCTTCCAGCCCAGCCCAGAGCCCTCAGCCCTGCCCCTGCAGACACTCACGGCAGTCCTGCTCATCAGACTTGTCCTTGCAGTCCTCGTCCCCGTCACACTTCCAGTTGAGGTGGATGCACTCGCCGTTCCCGCACTGGAACTCGTGGGCCGCGCACGTGTTGAGCGCCTTGGCGTCGTAGCCGCACTTCTCCATGGACTCGTCCGACTGATCCTCGCAGTCGGGCTGGTTGTCGCACACCCACAGCTCCGGGATGCACACGCTGTTGTTGCACTGGAACTCGCTGGGGTTGCAGGTCAGAGGGGAGCACTTCCTTTCATCGCTGCCATCCCCGCAGTCGTTGTCGCCGTCACACACGAAGATGATGGAGATGCACGACTTGTTACTGCACTGGAACTCGTTGGGAGAACAGGCTTGGGAATAAAACAAACAGGTAAGCTGGGAGGTCTCCAACCCAGCCCTCACCAGTGGCCCAGCTTTAGCACGTTAGGGATGTCCGAGGGCAAAGGCATTACCAGAGCTGTCCTACCCCAAAACATTTCTCCCAGTGGTGACCACACGGCAAGGAGCTGGTGAGGCCACAGCGCTCCTCAGCTGTGCCTCAGGATGCATCCTCTAGGGCAGCCCTGGAGAAGGAGGGGCAGCAGGGCTGTGGGAACTGCGGGACAGCGCTGTCCTGGCGCTGAGGAGCAGCAGGGGAGCCCCGGGCGGGAGCAGCAGCAGCAGCACGGAATGGGAATGGGAATGGGAAGGTTGGAAGGAGAGGCTGGGGCTGTGCTGGCAGCGCCGGGGCTCTGCTTGGCTCCACGCTGACATTACCAGCTTCCTGACTTTCATAAGCACAGAATCAGGTTTCAGGATTTCACAGTATGCCTGGTTTTGGACATATTAAGTGGGATGTGTAGGGTAAATATTTAGTGAGTCGAGCATCAATTTAGCTGCAATCTGCCAGTAAGGCCCTTTACAACACGCTGAATGCCTTCCCTGGAAATCACAACTCAACATTAACATACAAATGAGGCGCTTGTCAGATCGAAGCTGAGTGGAGCACTCTCCTCTACAAGCCTAATGGACAGCTGAACCAGAGATGCCTGCTCAAATTAAACTTTCAGGTACTCCAGCAAAGTGCAGTTCGAAGTCACTTTATTCCATCAAGGCACAGGGGAATCAAAACCATGGAAGAAATTCTCTGTAAGTACTTTGAGGTAGTTATGTACAAAAGAATTCTTCTGTAATTTCAGCCCTCTACAGGGAAGTTATGGCTTTGATAAATTACAAGTACAATAAATATAAATGCATATAAATTACAATAAGCTTTTTTTTTTTTTTCATTGTACTTGGGAATTTTTTTTGTCTTCAGAAGCAGAACTACTTACTGCCATATCTGCAGAGCCCCTACACTAGACCACACAGTTTAGATGGTACCAATCACTGCAATGGCAATTGCACCTGGAGAGCAGCAGAATAATCTCTCTAAAAAACCTGTCATATCCCAAATTTCAGCCAGTGACAGGAACCCAGTGGGATTCTACTGCAATATTATGTCTGATTTATGCCTGGGAATAAAGCTGTATTTATCCAGCATTTAAGAACCTGTTCACTTGCACAGATGCCTAATTACATTCTGTCTGGCAAACTCACTGGGCTCTGCCTGATAACCTAAGCAGCCTCTCATTTTACATCAGAACACGAATACACACACACACATTTATGTTTATATATATACACCTCTCCCCTCCTGCCCTGTGCTCTGTCCCATTTAGCCCCAGGTTCTCCAGATGTTAGAGCACAGCAATCCACCTAACTAGAAGAGAAGGAGGATTGTCTTCCTTGCTGCAATGCTGCCATGCACTGGCCAAGACCCAGGCTCTCTCCAGCAGGGAGAAATGTTAAAGAGAATCTCAGCTGCCCCACTTGACACCAATCATGGAATGCAACAGAGCAAGGCACCAAAGGAGCTGCTCGGCTCCTTCTGCACTTGGTAGAGGATTTTAGATACTGAGATGCCTTCAACAGGCACCTGTACCTTGGAACAGCCACAATTTCTCCTCTCCAAACAGGAGGAACTAATACTAGGAGGTGAACCTTTCTCATAAGGACTTGAAATACAAGCACAGTCTGGTGGAAAAGCATTTAAAAATCTTCCTCTTTTTCATGGCAAACTTGAGACCATTAAAGTGCTCTAAATATTACCTAAATTCTGCTCTATATCTCCATTTAGCAGATATCTCTATCCTTACCCCATGACTAGAAATCATCTATTGGCCCTACTGATGGGTACCCAGCTATATAACTTAACACTGTCTTCAGAGGAGCCATTACACGGAACTGCATCTGGAATATTCCTCCATAAAGTGGAAATTCAAGGTAACAGTTAGAATCTTACCAATCTATTTTGAAATGGTTGTGGGAAAACAGGAATATTTCAATGGCTATGAATAGTTTCTATAACAAATAAAGTCTGAGAAGAAGAAATTGCTTTTCTGGCATTATTTTGATGAATCTCAGAAACAGATCAGAGAGCAAAATCTTGCATAGTTCTTTGATCCTTAATGTTTGGGCAAGATTGTAATGATTTGCACATTCCAAATGTGCATAAATTTCCTTTCCACCAACTGTAATGAACCCCTCTTTTTCCCCTTGTTGTTTTCCTGGTCCCACCTCCACCCCTCCTCCTGTTTGTACAGGTTTCCCTTCAGAAATCTGCTGCATTGGCAAATTAGCGACTGAGAAACATAGAGTGGGATACAGACAATGGAAGTTTGCATAAAGGCTCCCCCTTTGCACCTACAAATCCCAGTACACATATAAAATTACTGATAATCACAGCCAGAAAGTAGAAGCAGTTCAGCTTTTGTAACCTCTCATGAGGACTTTCTCAGTGAAGACTAAGAATTGCTAGCTAGAAAATTGCATGGTCATGATTATTTTATTTCTTTTTAAAAATTAAGTTCAGTGTGATGCCAGCACCAGAGACTACAAGCTCTCTCTCCACGAACAAGCACAGCAGGCTGGCTGTTGGTAACTCCCCTCTGGGGATCCAGCAGTTCCTTCTGGGTCACACCTGCCCCCAGCAGAGCTCCATCCACCCCTCCCGTGCCCTGCTGCTGCCATGGCAGGGCAGACAGTGTCCCAAGAGCCCTGACCCTTCCCTCATCCTCCCTGGCAGCAGGGTGGGGAGCAGAGCTGTGCCCGTCCTGCGGCACTGCCTGGCACCAAGAGCCCGATAAATAAACACAATTATCTCACCCAGCACCTGGAGAGATGGGCACGGGGCAGGAAAGCCCCAGGGACAGTTTACTTCACATCCCCTTCCATAAATCTGTCAGGGTACCTCGCAGTCCCATCACTACAGGATTTCATTGCCCCCAGAGCATTTCAGCAGAAAATGTGCCAACAGTAATTAAATGATCGCTGGGGTATTTTTTGACTCGAGCAATTTGTTTGCATCCTCCAAATTTGCTGCCTATCCTATTGTAGGCTGATTCACTTAAGACCAAGGAATCAAATAATAATTTGCTTTCTTTAGCACAGAAGAAATTAATAAACGTTGTACTCTAAGGTGCAAAACCTACTTCAAACATGAGTGATCCCAATAGAAATTTTGGAAATGTTTGTAAAGATGTGTTTAACCAACAGTCTTCAAAGCATAACTATAACAGCAGTTTACTGTAGAGCACTGTAATGTTAAAAGGTTCTTCACAGTTTCAGGAAGTAAAATATCACACATAAATGATTATGTAGAGGTGATTTTGCCTATAGACAGAACACACCAGAGGTATTCTGCATTAATTTTTGCCCTGTGCTTTGTGCCAGTCTGTAGAGCACAACTGTCACAGTTTTTGCCTCACAGCCTGCAGCTGCACTCTTGTCACTTCTCTTGAGGAGAGTAGAGCAGAAGCAGCCTTGGGATAGAGGAAGTTAAAAATAATAAAATAACAGAAGATCTGAGAGATTGCAGTTGTGGAGCTAGTGTTTCGGTCTGGCTGGTTCTCTTTTGCCCAGAGCCAGGATTTAACCAGAGGCTTTAGTGAAGTCTGGTGCAGCAGGGACACTCTTAGCTCAGGCATGGCACCAAAAAATTCAGAAAATTCTGCCACATGTTTTTTTAAGTGCTTTTAGGAAAAAGCAGAATGCTCTCAAGATGTAGAATTCTCTAAAAATACAGAGTGCTCATTAAAAAATTGTCATTTCAAAAAAATATATATTTGTACATAACATTTCTACAATGGACAACTCTACCAAGCATGGATCCTTAAATCTAGATAAAATTGAAAAAATGAAATAAGTGGTGTGTCCATCATTGCCAGGAGCTGGGAATTATGTACAAAGGACTATAACTGCTGTCATTGCTAATCTCTAATTAAAGATTTTATAGCTTTTCAGTAAGACTCAGGTATTTAATTCATTTCTCCTCCAAAAGAGCCATTTCCACTTGAAATTACATGAATGGCTTAAATAATGATAATTATTTGGTAAAATTTGTGGTGAAGTGGATAGCAGCAATTATCCACTGATGCTGAAGACAAGAAGATAAGATGAATTATTACACTGTATTTTTCTGACACTATCCCCAAAGCAACTTTAAAAATGTGTCTGAAAATTTATGTTTGTTTAAATCTGATAATGGATCTTCTAAAGCAGGCAAAGGATGATTTGTGCATACCAATATTTCCATCAGGGAGGGAGAGATCTGCTGCTTATTCATGGCTGCTTCAACACTGGCAGGGAAGGCTGCTGGCCTTGAGAAACTCTCCAAAGCTCTGAGATTTAGGATTTGAGTTCTGCAGGGCTGAGGGGTGGAATTCCTGAGCTCCATCTGCCCAGGTGTTCTGCCCCAAGTGCAAGCCCAGCTCCCCCAGCCCCCAGGAACCAATCTCTGAGCTGGGCCAGGGATAAGGAGGTCACAGAGTGCAGACAGGGTAGATTATGTTGGAACTCCCAGTTACCAGCACTGTCAGCATGTTAGTTTTGCTTAACTAGTATTTATTTTCAGGTTTAATTATGTCTAAATTATTTATTTTGCCTGCAGTCAATTGCTTACCAAATACCTGAATATTTCATACAGATCTTCTGTCAAATGCCAGTCTTTAAAGCACAGATTCATGCCTGGAAGGACAAGTTTCCCATGGAAAGCTGCCCTCCAGGAAGGACAGCAAAGGAGATGGAGGTAAATGAAGATGACCTTGAAGCTCATTGCTCTGAAAAAATGACAGGCCTCCCATGGAGGGAATAATGCAGCGGAATTGCAGCCTCACTCCCACCAGTGGTTGTTGCCATGGTGATTGATACCGAAAAGCCCATCTAGATGGAGGCTGCAGCAGGAATAGTAATTCCTGATATTGTTCAAGTCACTAATGGAGCTAAGGAGCCGTCTCACGCACTCCTGCAAATTAATATTTGCGTGTGCTGG